GTCGACTGACTTTTTGGCCTGGTGAGCACTGGGCCTGGTTCCCAGGCTCTCGGCCCCAGATCTATACTCTCCTCCACCACAGCCAGGCAGCTGCATCAGACTCCCACAGAGCATCAGTGTCTCCAGCACTAAGAACAGAAAGGGATACATTGACTGCAGTGGGGGTCTATGGAGAATCCTGTCGGGTCTGTAAGGATGGAAGGTCTGGTCCCAGGCACAGGATGCTGGGAAACAGAGCTCCTAAGGCGGAGAGGGCCCTGGTCAGTACCGAGGCAGGACCCACAACCACGGAGGACACAGAAGAAGGTGAGATCAAGATCCAGAAGACCTCTTGGGGGGCATCTGGAAGCAGGGGAGGCTGAAACGGTGCCAAAGAAAGATCCTTGGAAGGTGTGAGGCTATGAGGAGAGGAGAAATCAAGCAGCACAGGCAAAAGCTAAAGCTGAACATCTGCGGGGAAAGTGATGGTAAAGGGAGAGGACGGAAAGCAGAATGTGACACAGACAACAGCACCGGGTGCGGCAGAGGCTGAGCACCCTGAGACAGGGGAGGTCTTGGGTCTCAAAGGGGGTCGTAGAGCCCTGTTGTGGAATCTTCATTCCTAGAAGTCTGTGAGAGAGTTTAGACTCTTCTACCTTTGGGTGCAGAATTATGGCTTTTGGTTTGGTTTTGCCAGCTGGCTGTCATTTCCAGTGGATCTGCAGTTGCTTGGCTCTTAGGGGCTCTACAGGTATCAGGTGGCTGTCAACAGATTGCTGCCTACAGTAGGTTTCCAGCACGCCTTGGATGGAGGGGATCAGATGAGTGAACTGTCCAGGCAAGATGCTTACATCATACATCCTACACGCAGACCCGAGATTCCTAGGAGTGTGGCCCTTTCTTGTACTAATAGGTAGGATAGATAAATTTAAATCACTCCGCTTTAAATAAAACACATCATGTTTTTATTTAATAGTTTTGACAATATAGAAGTGCATGCTATAAAAGTTGTAATTCTACTTCCCACTTTGCTGAAAATACTAGTACTCATTGCCTAAAATGTATGCCCCCATTTCCCGTGCCTCTAGTAAGAGTACATGTAGCCTTTTTCTTAGAGTGAGTTTTTTAAAAATGAGGTACCTACAGTTTTGGTTGTGTTTACTTAACGATATTACCCATGACAATTTTCTAAAAGGGCTCTATGTAAAATAAATCACAAATGTGCTATAGGACTTATAGACATTTCTGACAAATAGTCGCTGTTCTCTGTATTTGTGCTTCATGATCATGGCCTCCTCTTTACCAGCTCTTCGTCTCCTAGTGACTCAGCGAGCATACAACTCTGAAGAGTTCTAAATTCAAAGGTTCTCACCCTGCCCCTGGAATCACTCTATTACTACACTGCAATCATTAGTGGACAGATTCGATGGTGGCCTAGGTGACAAAGACAGTTAAAACAAAACACCAACAGCTACAACAAAACCAGAAACTATGTGCACGTAAACACCGACAGGCCATTTCCTGCGTTCCTTCTCCATCCCAAGGGCTGTTCAGATTACTTTATTGTCTCAATACATTAACTCAGTCACTTTGCACTGCTGTAACAAAATACATAGCCTCATAAACAAGAAATGTATGGCTCACAGTTTTAGAGGCTGGAAGTCCAAGGTCAGGATGCTGGCAGGTTCTGTGCCCAGGGAGAACCCCCTTCCTAGTTCACAGACAGCAGCTTCTCACTGAGTCCTCGCATGGTGGGAGTGGGGAAGGGGGAGCCCGGTGCAGTTGCTCATTATACATTGATTCTATTCATGAAGGCTTCCCCCTCGTGACCTAATCACCTCCAAATACCCTCGGATTGGGGATTAGGTTCCAACATATGAATTATGGGAGGTCAAACATCTTCACTGTAAAGCATGTACAGTGCCTTTGAGGCGGGTAACACCTATCAAGTGGCTGGAGAAACAGACACAGGAAATTTACTAAGTCAGGCGCCTAGGCTCAAGAGCTGGTAAGTGCAGAGCAGGAGGAATGTGGGGCATGAAGAACAGGAAGAGAGGGGATTAGGCCCAGGCAGGGGCCACGTGTCCCATTAGATTGCTGCGGCTCTCAGGTGTCCATGTGTCAACTCTGAGTCTGCACAGCAATCTCCTGGAACAGCAGATGAGGAATCCGAGTGGGGGCACAACTGCAGCAGAGCCACATTTGACACCTTAACTTGGGAGTTCATTGTGCTAATTACCACGGCCAGGTGGGGATGGACCCTATCAGCAGAGCTGCCTGGGCTCCAGGCTGCTTACCCAGTGAATACTGGAAAGCAGAAAGAAAGCTCTGCAGAAAGGATCGGGGGCACCACCAGCGGGGTCTGGGAAGCCTCCTTGGCGGGTTCCAGGGTGTCCACTCATCATGCCATGGTGGGGGTTCTGCCTTTTCTGCTGTCGGGACCAGAAGCCTCCACCAGCAGTCAGGATAGGAAGCCTCGACAGGTGACTCAGCCAGTCACCATCCCATCTCTACTGTTGCCATCCACTTTGCTTCTATTTTAGTTTCAGAGACTTTCGCAACCCTTTTGTGATGGCTACGGCGTGATGCCATAAGACTTTGGCAGAGACAGGGGCAGAATCTCAGGCCAAGATTGCCTCCAGGAAACCACACTCTGCATGCTGCTCCTGGCTGGGGTGTACCTTCTGCTCCGAGCCCCTAGAACACATCCCTTTCTAGCATTCATGGAATGACCTGTGGCTCCAATTCACATCTGCATTCACCTGCTCCCTAATTTTCGTCTCTATGTTATATTCTTTTCTAGCCACACAAGTCACTCCTTTACAGCATCCAACACACTTGATTCACATCATCTTCCCTGCTAAAATGCAAATTCAATGAAGGTAGGGGACATGATTGTTTCTGTCCACCTTTGTAACTGTAGCTCCTAGTATATGCTTGGAACAATAAAGAATTGTTGGTATAATCGCCCTAACCTCCACTTTACTTACTGTTATAACAACTCACATGACAAATGGCCTCTCATTGCCCCTGTAACACCTCTCCACAGCAGGTACTGTTGTTCCTATCTTACAGATGAAGAATAGCTGCATAGAGAAGAGAAGATCTCGGCCCATTATACAGAAGAGCGGCAAAGCTGGTGAGTGACAGAGTTAAAATTTGAACCCAGGATGTCTTGTTTCCAAATCTAAACTCTGAACTTTTTTTTTTTTTTTTTTTTTTTTTG